TAGAATTATATTTGGATGGGACTGTTTTCAAATAGATTTAAATACAACTCTGATTATTGAATTAAACTATAATAAAAGGAATGAATGTGATTGCATATTGTAATGTGAAGTGTTTCTGGATATCCTTATATGTAAATAGGTGATTTAAGCCAAAAAAAACAAAACTAACTATTTAACATCGGGTCTTAAGATTTACTGTAAGGTTTTTATTTACATTTTACACAGAATAAGCAGCATCTTATTTTTCCTCATCTATTGCCAAGGATCCTAAACAAGAATATCTCAAAAACAGTTTTTTATGCATGCGGAATGAGTATTTTATTCATAACCAGTTTATAAAAATAAAATACAAAATAATTCTAAAACAAAAAGAAAAGAAACACTGTACAAGGCATTTATATGATACAAATAAAATATCAAACATAAATAATTACAGGTATATACAATGTAAAACTCCCACTTTTTTCCTTGAAGCTTTACATTAATATTTCAAAACCATGATGTACACTACAACAGAAAAAAATAATTAAAGCTATATATAAATATAAAAAAAAAAGATTCTTGATGTTTTTTATTCAAAATAACTATGGAGCGAGTGTCACAATAAATAAATTCAAGTCAAGCATTTATAAGTTATTGACAAGTATCTCAATGCTATGGCATGAGCAGCCTATTATTGTATTACATTTTTCAAGAAGAAAGGAAACAAAAAAACGGAACAGATCATTTTTTTTCTTTTGGTCTGTGTGTAACGAAGCACTAACAGCAAAAAAACAAACGGCTAAGGTAAATATCACACCTCTCTACCTGTGGAGCTTTCAAAACTGGCGAAGGGATTCTAACCTGGACAGAAACACTAACACTACAACTACACACACCACATCCACGTGTTCATCATAAAAACCATGAGGAAATCTGATTATCATAGAAAACCAGCAGCATTGTTCAGCATCTGTTCCCCTTTCTCTCTTTGAAGCATATAAATTATTGTTTTTCTTCACAACGCTGTTTTTATATTTACATATGACTGAATATCTTGCAGTTGTTTATTAAAAGCTTGTGTAATGATTTTGAAAAGGGGACAATATCCTGATGTCTGTGAGTTTATGTGGGACAGTTCAAAGATTTGACGTTAAAATAAAATAGAATCGCTTAATCCTGCTTACACCACTACAAATGCCCTGGAGTTTCACTGGATATTTAACTTTTTTTGTCTAATTTGTGAAATACTATTTTTTCTGGACTCCAGCGAATTAGCACGTGTCATTTATAGAAAGAACAAAAAGGAGGAATTCTCAGGTTTTGCTCTAGTTGTGAATAAAAACTCCAGAACAGACAAGGCTCAGTCATCCCTCGCTATATGCACAGAGGGGCAGGGGAGAGGCATTAAGGCTGTTCTGACTGAACGCTGTCCGCCTTCAGGATGAGTCATCAGAGGTGCTCGATTCAAAGTAGGCTCATCTGTTTACACGCCGCATTTCAGCTTAAATCATCAAACCCATAAAAGTTTTTGGTAATATCAGTGTTCACTGGTCTAACGCACAGTAGCGCCCCAACAAACATCCCGTAACAAAGGATTGCAGCATTTCCCTCCATTCTGTGCTCCAGATAGAGAGGTACATATCATTATATACAGTGCCTTGCAAAAATATGTATACTAATTTAACCTTTCCTCACTTTGTCAAGGGTTTAGGGTTATGTGCAGAAAATATCAGGTTTAATTTATCGAGCAGATTTATAATAAAAAGAGGGTTAAAAAAAAACAAACAATGAAAAAAAAACAACCATGGCAGCACCTTCATGGCAGCAAGGCCTTGGACAACGCGTCCCCCCCTCTGACTGGCCATGCCAAAACTGAATTTCCCTTTGGGATTAATAAAGTATTATTGAATTGAAAGATGGTGGCAGCATCATGCTGTGGGTTTGTTGTTTTTTTTTATGGTTTGATAGAAGTAAGGAGCAGAAACTAGAGCAACCAGGATGGGGGACCAGGTCTATAAGGTCTATTCATATGTTAAAATGGTCCAATCAACCTAAATCCGATTAAGAATTTGTAGAGACTTGACGAAATGTAAATTAATCCACTCTCCCTCCATCTAAACTCTCCCCTTGAGGGATTTCAATAAAAATCCCCACATGTGCTAATCTGGGAGACATAATCCAAAACACCTGCAGCTTTAAAGAATAGTGGGTCTATGCAGTATCAACACAACTTATATATATATATATATATATATATATATATATATATATATATATATATATATATATATATATATATATATATATATATATATATATATATATATATATATTTATTTTGTTTTGATTTTTCTATACTCTAATAATCCCAGAGGGAAATTACTTCTCTGCATTTAACCCATCCCCTTGGGGAGCAGGGGGCTGCCATTGTGCGGCGCCCAGGGAGCAGTGTGGGGTTAAGGGTCTTGCTCAGGGACCCAGAGTGGCAGTCTGTGGGAGTGGGGGAAACTTATATTTTTATTATATATATATATATATATTTTTTTTTTTTTTTTTTACCATTTTAATTGCAGAGATATTGAAGAAAGAGGAATTTTTTTTCCTTCCACATCAAAGTCATGCACTACTTTCTTATATGGAGACAAAATCCCAGCAAAACACATGACAGATTGTGGCTGTGACGAAACAAAATGTGAAAAGGTTTGACATGTGTCGTTATTTTTACAAGGCACTGTAGCTGCAACACAATCAACCCAGATAAGAACAGAAAGCGAAAAGAAGGAGTCACAGGAATTCAGTTTGTTTACGGTACTTGTCAAGGTAATGTCCTACTCATTGGGTTAAAAGAGAAACATGTGAAGCAAAGCGGTGTCAAGCTCAGAAGCTGGTATATCCGTATGTGTTTTCCCGGCATGCAGAGTAGCAGATGAAGGAAGCTGAAGTAAGTTAGCAGTCAGTATAATACAAGCAGAGGGGCTGGAGGATGCTGAGAAAGAGGCTTACAGAGGAGATAAAACTGGAATAACAGCAAGAACTGGTCTTCATTGCAGGATATACAAACTATTTTGACCTGCAGGCTTAAAGCATTGTTTTGTTTATACGGCTTTGCTTTTTAGGTAATATGGGAGGTTTTTAGAGGTGGCATTTGTTTGCAGCCAAACAGTGTAAGTGCTACTTTGTTTGAAAACTACAAAATGTTTTTCTTGCTACCTTGTTTATAGAAATGAGGATTAATGAAAAGGGTTTTCTTTTAAGTGCTGGCACAAGTCTTTTTGGCCTTTTATTCCCAAATTATAAACATGTGACAGTGAATCTTTAAGCTGCCCAAAGTGCCAAGGCACATGCTGAGACAAACATTTGTGTCTGTGCATTACTCACCGGTAATGCACCTTTAGCTGTTCAGGCTACATCAACATTTGCCACTGGAAGCAAAAGTATGATCCACCAATTCCTGCCTTGGGGATCCAAAGATAACCTCACAGCATTACAGTAGGCACAAAACAGTGCGCGTCATCACGCACTTCTTACAACTGATTGTACACAGGGCCACTGAGTGATCCCTTCGATTAAACACTGAAAACTCATTTGCCCATCTAAGGGGAGAGGTTTGAGGCAGCTTTACAATGAATACAACCAATGAAATAAAAGCTTAAGACAAAGCATAGCTTAAATCTAACTATCATACCCAGCCAGTGGCCTCCAAAAGGAAAACTGGGGCAATTCTTCATCTAGTTGGAATCATCTGCACTGCAATTTCTAAGTGCAAAAAATATAAAAATAATATGAAGTTTAAACAGCGACTCACACCAAATCAGGCATAACATCAAAACCATCTGCCTGATAGTGGATTGGTCCCCCTTTAGCTGCCAAACAGCCCACATCTATTCAGGTTTAGTCTCCACCAGACTCCTGAAAGTCTGGTGAGCTATAAAGGACCAAGGTGCAAGCACATCCTTTAAGTCTGATCATCTGCTAGAAGACATCTCTGGTCCTTTGGGTCCTGCACGTCTAAAAATAGCTTGATTGCAGTCCGCTCTGAGGAAATGGGGTTAAGTCAACGCTTTTCCTAAAACAAATTTTTTTCTTATTGAGCCTACGTTAACCATTCTGAAAGAGGAAAAACTCACCAGGGATAATCACCAGATGTTGTAACAACACTTAGGTAAAGACTTTGTGCCAAAGTAGCAAACATGTGGATGGGGGGGACCCAAAATCTTCTAGTGGAACATCACAAAAAGCATTATGCTTCCTCTCAAACTTGCCTTCTTCCAACAGGGAATCCTGGTGGCATATGTTCCTCAACACACAAGGGAAGCACTCCCTATAGGTTAAACACAGGTATGCATTTAGCAAAACTGGTGAAACTACCTTTTTTAATGCCATCCTGTGCAACTGCCTATATGGGTTTTGCTAGAAATTTTACCTGTTCCCTTGGTAACCATTGAACATTCACACTGCTTTTCATGCTATCTTAAAGAAAAAGTGATCTATTAGACCAGACCATTGCTTTATGGTCGAGTTCAGGTCCATTGTTTGATCTTTTGGCACCAAAAGGGGTACCATGCAACTTTTCTATGAAATTTCTATGTCATCCAGATAGATCAGACATGACGGATCATGATTGCACCCTCATTGGACCACATTTAAATGGTGGTAACAAATGCACTTCCTGTCTACTTAATCTCACCCAGTCACAGATGCCCAGTCAGCTGTCGGTGGTTATGATGTCATGCCTGATAGGAGTGTATCAATGTATTGGATAGATCAGGTTAAAGTGAGTTAAAGGCTCAACTAAGCAATTGTTCTACATTATCTTATATTCCTGCCTTCAGCATGATAAAGACAGCTTTAGTCTAAGTTATGGATCCTGATGCAGTCACGCAAAGGCTCAGGTTGAAAGATGAAATTGAAATTAAATTTTGTTAGAAAGTAGTCAAAACATTGTATAAGTCAGGCAAACCCTGTGTGCAAAAACAGAAGAAGAGTAGGATTGAACTAATAACAGAAGAGAAACAGTGTTTTACTGACTGAACAGGAAGAACCAAGCTTTATTCTAAATGATGTTTGTTCTAGTGTTATTTAAATCCTTATTTCCTTTTCTATGGCATTACATTATGGCGTGAAATTATCTGCTCAGCTTGCTTGAGCACTTGCCCTCTCTGCTGCAGCTCTTCCCCCTGGACAGGTGCAGTGGGCTTGTGCGCACCTGCCGACTGCAACACATCTCCTGGTGGTGGAGGTAGAAGCGACGGGGAGGCGGAGACCCTGAAAAGCTCGGAGGCGAGTGGCTCCGACCCAGAAAGCCACTGCCGCCCCCTCCGCCCCGGTGCTCGTGGCGGGAAGGCGAGGAGCTGACAGAACGCTGCAGAGAGGAGGAGCTGCGAGGCGAGGCGCTGGAGCTGCGGTGGTGGTGGTGGTGTGGGGAACTGGTCAGACTGCAGACACCCGTCCTGAAGGCTGCATGCTGGCCTGAGGAGCGGTGATGTACGGGGGAGCCACGGGAACCGTGCATCAGCTGAGCGATGCATGAAAGGAGGTCCGAGTCACTGTTGCTGCCAGTCCGGATGCGGTAGCGCCTGAGTCTTAAGGGGAGAAAAAATGAGGGTGAAATATAGGGATGGGAATCGAAAACCGGTTCCTGTTCAGAACCGGTTCCGTATTTTCCGATTCCATGGCATCGTTTGGCAGCTCGCTGAACGATTCTTTTTTCGATTCCCGCAGCACCAGAGCCTAGAGCGCCGGCTCTGGGGAGCATGACTTACGTCACGTTTTTTACGTACGTTACGTAAGTTACGCAAGTTACGCAATTTGGAAATAACTATTCGAGGAGGAAGACAGCGAGCTGCGGTCACTTTTTGAATCAAAGCCCCGTCTTTCCTTAGCCCAGAGGGTAGATCAGGAAATCCAGCTCTATAAAAGCTTGCCCTCCATCCCCTGCAGGGATAGCGCCACACTGTGGTGGTGGAACAAGCAAGATACGCTGCCCTTGCTATCTGGACTGGCTGAAAACTACCTCTGTGTGCAGGCTTCCTGCACCCCATCTGAGAGGGTGTTCTCCACGGCTGGAGACACCATAAGCCCTGAAAGATCCTGTATCCTTCCAGAAAAAGCAGATATGCTCATCTTTCTGCAAAAGAACTGTTAATTTTCCCTACTAATTTTTTATAATTAGTATTTTTTGTTATTTAAAATAGGTTATTATCCCATCATTTGTTATTAGACATTGTTGGTTATTAAGTTTGTTCTTGTATTCATTTTTCATTTAAACACAGATGTTACTCCAGTTTCACATTTCCTGTGGACATCTTGATCTTGTTGAGTTTGTAAGATTGTGCAATAGTTAAGTAAACAAAGTTGATTCTGATAATCAAACTGTTTGTTCTCCTTTTTCCCCCAAATTGGAATCGAAAAAAGAATCGATAAAGAATCGAATCGTTTAATAGAATCGAAAAGGGAATCGGAATCGTGAAAATCTTTTCAATTCCCAACCCTAGTGAAATATGTTAAGAACAGTAGGTTATAGACTTAACTTCCCTGAAGGGGCTCAAAAGGAGCTATTTATCACAGATTTAACAAGAATTCTGGATCTTCCTGAATCCTGAATCATAATCTTGGATATCTCTTATACATTAGTTCACAAGAGTGCTTGCCAGTGTTGGGGGCGGGGCTTAAAATAATTCTGTCAGAAGTCTGCTGGAGCTTCCACCAAACTGGACCACAACGAATATTATTTTTGAACAATGAAATGTCTATGATGATGTTTTAGTACTTTTTCCAAATAAAAATCGAAAGAAGTGCTCCATTCATTTGCATACAGCCCACAGATTCAGAGAGCCACTTAAAGGGATAGTTCGGGATTTTTGACATGAATCTGTATGGCATCCCCATCACCAGTGTCATGCAATCACACTGACTTACCCCTGGCAGCATCCTGTGAGCAGAGTTCTCGTCCAGCTTTGGTCAAGCCGAAAGTAGTCCGGCAGGTTTGCTAGACCCAGCGAAATAAAACGTTTCTCTTCCCAAAACATTATGTGTTCAAAAGAGTGATATTTTTGCATCCCAAAAACATTGTAGTGGAAAAAGTCACACGTCGTTATCACTTGGTCCTATTTTCTCTCTGTTCGTATCAGTGCGCGCCGTCATTCTGACAGCGAGCTCAACTTTGAGGAGGGCAGGGAAGTCGCTGTTGTTTGTGATGCAGACAGCAGCTGCTGCAACTCCGACATCCTCATCAATGGAAAGGTTCTGTATCTCGGGCATTACTAAATCCCACTCGTGGCAACAGTAGCATCCACCTCTGTCTGCATTAATTCGCACTTGAAACAAGTGCACCATGATTTGTCGGCCACCCTGGATATCGCAGCTCCAGCTGTGGCTCCTGCGGCTCCGACTTCAGCTTCCATCACTTCTCTGTCCACCCTCTCTCTTTCTGCCCGATCTAACTCCATTTGTCGAAGTTCATCGTCAGTGTACTCGGGTTCATAAAGATATCCCTTTGGCTCTAAGTGGAAGTCGATGTTTTCCTCGTCGCTCTCGTAGTCAGACATCTTCCCCAGTAGTAAACAATCGCGAATCAAACAGGTAGGCCCTTAACCTGACAACAGCCAGATGCATGTCTCGCTCCGCCCAGCTAGGAGCTAGGCGGAGCGAGACATGCATCTGGCTGTTGTCAGGTTAGTAGGCCCTAGCTGTCAGGTCATGGTGTCGCGCGCACTGATACGAACAGAGAGAAAATAGGACCAAGTGATAACGACGTGTGACTTTTTCCACTACAATGTTTTTGGGATGCAAAAATATCACTCTTTTGAACACATAATGTTTTGGGAAGAGAAACGTTTTATTTCGCTGGGTCTAGCAAACCTGCCGGACTACTTTCGGCTTGACCAAAGCTGGACGAGAACTCTGCTCACAGGATGCTGCCAGGGGTAAGTCGGTGTGATTGCATGACACTGGTGATGGGGATGCCATACAGATTCATGTCAAAAATCCCGAACTATCCCTTTAAGGTGTGTGAATGTTTTGGCCTCCATGTATGATCCTTATCGATTCTTCTTCTTCAAAAAGGGTTTTTCTTTATGTGAAAGTTTCATAAAGGCCAAATCAATAAGGTGTCTCACTAGTAGTTCAACACCTCATCAAAGCAGAGCTGTGGATACCTGCAGCTTCTCCATAAGCCTATTTTTTGCCACTTTAATCAATGTTTTTTTCTCTGTCTCTAATGCTTTAATTTGTGCCACTATTAGAATTGAACAGCGCACTGTGCAGGAAGAATGGTTCAGAATTCATAACTGCCACGTTCATTGGTCTTCATGATCCTCCTTAGTCATTTTGGTCCTCTAATGAATCTCCCGAGGCCTTCACAAAACAACTGCATTTATTGTGAGATCAAAGAATACCCACTCTACAGAAAACTGAATTCTAAGTTAGACATTTTTTTCTTAAAATAAATGAATTGAGCAGGTAAGTGAGATATTTTGCAAATGAAACAAGACTTTTACATTTTACAGGGAATAAACTACTACAGTCTCTTGTTTCAGGGGCATTCTACCAAATTAGCTAATTTAAAGGGTGAAAACGCTCATTCCATTGACATATCAACCTATTTAACTACTAAAATTGAGGATAAATACAGTTATTTTAAGACTTTTTCAGATCATATTTGGAGTGTAGGTGGAAAATTCATCCTTTACTTTTTTAAGTAATTGTTAAAAAATATTGAAAACATGTATCTTTCTACCTCAAATTTAAACTAGCATTTGCATTGGTAGACAACAAAATCACACTAAAAACACAGATGTTTGGTTGAAATAAGACCAAATATTGAAAAAATAAACATATTCGTCTTCTTTTACAAGGCAGTGTACACTGTTTGTAAAAAATGTGAGGTATTGTTACCTGCCCTCCGCCATGGCACGACACGGTGGCTTTCCGGGGGGTGGGCGAGGCAGGAACTGGGTAGTCAGCTGCTCTGCAGACGTGGCTGAATGAATAGGACGTGGAATCCTGCTTTTCCTAGAAAGGGGACTGGAGGAGGAGGATAGAGATCGAGCATCATCACCTTGACGGTCAGAGCCCATTAGAGAGTCCTCATCCTGAGAGCGGTCAGAAGTGGATGACAGGGGATCCCTGACGAGGGAGGCAACAACGGCACCACGTCGATCAGAGAGGGACGGGGAGGCGTTTGGAGAGGGGGCAGGGCCTTGGTGGCTGGCCTTTTTCTGTAAAAGTTTCTCCTTGGCAGATCCAGGAGGAGGGAGCTCTAGCAGGCTAGAGGGCTCAAGCACAGGGATGCGACTTTGCCTGCGGCTGGGGTCTTTGCGGGCGGCAGTGGGTGAGGAGCAAGATGGGGAGAGATTCACATTGCTTCCATCTCCCTCCCTAGTCTGTGCCTCTTTGGCACATGGAGTGGAGGTCATATTATTTTCAGGGTCTTTTGGTCTTGAGAGATCTCCAGCAGCTTGGGCATTAAATAATGGTGAGAGACAGCCATTGCTAAATAGAGGGCTGCGAGGGGAGCGAGGAGAAAACTGAGGAGGCGAATGAGGCGAGCGGGGTGAAGATGCACGGCTTGGTACAGGGCTTGGAGCTTTGGTAGAAGTATCCCCGTTCACCACTGTTTCAGCCAGGGGTTCTGTTGGCGTCCCTGGGTGGGCGGACACGTGTTCCTGTTGGGAGGGAACTCCCCCAGGAAGCTCCTTGATCTGAGCTTCAGCTTCACCACGCCTCTCAAGAAGGAGGCACTGTGGAGCACTGTCTGATCCCGACTGAGAGGTCAGACCTGAAGGACGCTGAGCTGTCAGCTGGAGGGGAAGGGAGGTGAACGGGAGAAGGAAAAAAGAAAAAAAAACAGATGTTATTCAACTGAATGCAGAACTTAAAATGGGAATAAATTTCTGATTATATAACGGTCTGTTGCTGAGACTACAACATGTGGAGTTGTGCTGTAGATCCGCAGCAAGAGCCAGATGCAGATGTGTGAACAAAGAGGAATTTGATATTAAATGATAAATAAATGGTGATTAGTTTAGCAACAGCATGCAATACCATAGCTACCATTATTCAGACCGAAACACACAAGTGCTATGGCAGTGTCAGTCAAGCTGTGAGTACTAAACCAGCAAGAAGGACAGGAAACGTTCACGCAACTTCGCAGGGGGCTTCAGCGAAGAAAGGGTGAGGAACAAATACAGGGAGAGAGAGAGGAAGAGGAAGATAGAGAGGACAAAGACGATCTGAAACAAAAGAGACCATGCAATCTGTAGTCATGACTCCACATTCCCAACACGCATGCCACAGTCAGACAAAGACACACCTCCTATTCACATGACAAGGACACATCTGAACCCATGCTCTGTCTGGCCTGCAAAATGGTTCTGGGAGAGAGCTACACAAAAAGCCAAGCAAACTGAGCAAACTGAACAAAAAAAGCCAGCAGTAACAAGCAACACAAGAGAAGAAAGAAACAAAACTATAACAGATGTATTGTAACAGGTTTGGAGGACGCTGAGGATTTGTTTGTTTCAACGGGAGGAGAGTGATGGAGATTCATCACCTGCTGAAGCTGGGCACGGGTGATGCGTATGACTGAGGGGAACTTGGTGTTGGCAGCACCAGCGGGGATGGCTGGCAGTTTCCTACGACTGGGCGAGCGAATGCCAGGGGAGGGGTTTGTAGGTAGAGGTAGGGAGGCATGGCAGGAGGAAGAAGAGGACGGGCGGTCCTGCTGCGGCTGCTGGTCGGCAGACTGGCTGCGCCTCAAGCCTGCTGAGTGCCGCTGGTGCAGCGGGTCCGACAACGTGATCAGGAGGGTGTGAGGACTGGGAGAACGCAGTGGGATGGGGCTAGATGTCCGGGCCAAGACCTCCTCGGGTAGAGACGGAGGAGAGGTGGGGAGCTAAGGGAGGGGAGGTGGAGAAAGGAGGGACTGTAAGATTGATGAGGGTGTGTGAATATGTAGGTGGAGGTTTTGTGAGGTAGAACAAACTGCTCTGGGTGGGAGTGTGACGAGTTGTTTTTTTTTTTTTATGTACAGGATGGGTGAGGTGAAGCAGCAGCTTTAGGTTAAGGGGATATGCAAACATTTAAATTAAATCTGTAAAGGTGAAGAATATGGCAATAGCTTCTTACAGTGTGTTGCAAAAGTATTGAAATGCATTCTGTTTCCATAATATATTCAACTGGACTGTATTTTAATGGAATTTTAAGTAATAATCCAAGGTCTTATATTATTTCTTGTTTTTTTTTTTATCTAATAAAAACAGAATAATGGCTAACATTTGAATTTAGCTCAGAAATTCATAACAAAAACCTGCAAACATGATTTCTTTTAGCTTTTTTTTTTTAAAACAGCGGCTTTCATCTTCTCACTTTTGCTCAATGGTCAAATAAGTAAACATTGTCTGGTGTCTTCAGCCGGGAGTGTGGATCTCTATAACTCCTCCTGACTAATTATGGGCTGATAAATACTCTCCACCCCGGTCTGTCAGTTTAGCCATGTGTTGGTATGTCTAAGTATATGATAAATTGAACAGTGCTTCATGAGATCTTTATAGTGTATGATAGCAATTTAAAACCTTTAGAAGAAAAGTGTTGCATTGAATTTTAGTATCGAAGGTATAATTATGAAGGGGAATTGAATGCATTAAATCAGAATTAAATAAAGTGAAGTCCTTGGTTGGGAACAGACAAAAAATCAGAGGGTTTATTCCTTTTGCAAGGCACTGGAAGAGTTAAAAGTTTGAACATAGGTTGAAAATAAATGTAGCACTAAACAAAATGGGCTACTGTGCGAGTGTGAATAGCAAAACAGCAAAGATATTTAGCTCAGGAAATCAAAAAAAGCTTTTTCTAAAGCAAAATAAGAGATAAAATTGTGCAAACAAAGTAAAGTTTTAGAACTAATCCAAATAAAGCAGAATTTAAAACCAATTAATAAGCTCTCTTTTCCCATGCTGCGACCTGATTAAGGCACCTAAAGTTGGGTTGTATCTTTTTTCTAATAATGTAAACAGGTGAAGGTGCAAGCAAACACAAAGCAGTAACATTTACCTTCAGACTATAGCAAGATGCAGCTGGTGGAACACTGATTGTTGTATGATAAAAGCATTGAAGTTCTATACCTAGAACTCTGACTCTGCAGCTTTTTAACTTTGTAAAATGCTGACTATGGTCATCAATATGCTTGCCATGTTATAAGTGCTCTTCAAATGAAGGGGCTTACCTGAGTGAGGACTCCCTCAGCCAGAGCTTCAGCTGGGCTGGTTGGTGTTATAGGAGGCAGAGCCCCCACAGGGCCCACACTCAGCTCCAACTTGTCCACTTTTGTACTTCCTTTGGAAGAAGCCGCACTTTCTTGCTTAGCTTTGCCAGAGTTAGGGCTTGGGCTTACGTTTTCCCATCCAGGTGACGCTTCCTCTGGTTGGAGCACCTCTGGCTCTTCATCCTCCTCTGAAGGGATGGATGTAGCTTTAGCTCCAGGGGAGCCACTCGGTCGCTCCACTATTACCCACTCTCTTGAGTCAATTTCCTGCCTCCCGGAGCTAAGATTAAGAGCCACGAAGCCACCACTGCTGACCGCCCCCTCTCCCTGCTCAAAAGACCCGGGTGAAGCTTGTTTAGGAGAAGCAGCTCCAGACAGGAACTCCTCGTCGTAGTGCCACACCCTATCAGGACGCTCCACAGCGGGTACAGCTGCTGGGACAATAGTAGTCTCCTTTCCCTGGCGCTGGACACCAAACTGTTGTTTTCCTGAACTAAAGGAAATATGCAAAAAAAAACGAAACCTCCTTTTTAACCCAAAGGATTAAAAAAAAGCACAAAAGAGCTAATTATGAACAAGCTTACCAATTATCCAGGGCCCGCTCTGGACTAGACTTTGACTCCAGGCTCAGCCTCCTCTCCAGCTCCAAGCTGTGGATGTTACGCAGCTTTCTCAGCAGCGGTCCATCTCGATCTGCAGCAACTCCCTCTGAGTGCAGTTTGACAGGAGAGCCCAAACTTAATCCTGCATAGGGGCTCTGGTGTCCTTGTTTGCCCTGGTTGTTGCTTTGTTCCTCCTCTGCCGCAGTCTGTGGAACCAAGACATGTTTTGGGGGTTTTGAATACTTTTCAAATCCAGCATTTAGATGCAAACATGTCCCTCATTTGTCAGACAATCCCTTATCATGTTCCAACCTCAAACTTTACTTGATTGAAAGAAAAGCATAGTTAGTCAAGCACTGCAGAAACATTTTCCAAGAAGAAAGCCTTTACTGCAAAAAAGACAAAAATAAATCCTGTTTGTGATTTGCAGTAAGCCAAGTCAGGGATGAAATAATATGTAGAAGAGAGACCAAACTCTAAACTCTATATAGAAAACACAACATAGCTATCATGCTGAGCTGATGCTTTTTTATCTAGGGAGATAGATGGATCCAACTACAGGGGACCCTACCATAAAACACAGACAAAAATATCAATGAAAGGTTTACTCAACTGAAACCCAGACTAGGTTAGATTAAAATGACGTGGTCCTTCAGATGCTTATATATAAGGGTTTATGATGAACAGCCCCCATCTCACTAAAACTACATTTAATGAAATGCATTTGAACAAAGAATGCTATAAGACTCCTACTGATTTATATTATGTCCCCATTAAAAGAGGAGACTTTGCAGAGGGAGCATTTACTGAGCAGAAATGCAGACCACACTTTTCAGATTCCAATCTGTAAAAAATAAAATAATAATACTTTAAAAAAACATCAGAATAACATGCTATATTGTCTCAGTTTATCATATTAAATACTTTAATAGTTGTGGAAGTAACGTTATAAACTGTATGAGCTCTCTTGCATGGTACTGTATGCAGTTTACCTTCCAGTGTCCTGTCCTGATCCTGTTCCGGTTCCGGTCAAGCTCTTCCCAGACGTCAGCCTCCTGGTTGCGATGCTGGTGGTGAGGGGAACCCAGCAGGCGATCAGGAGCGGCATTGTTCTCCACATCGCTAAGCTGCTCGTCCTGCAGCACCTCGTCTGTATTCTCCCTCAGCAGGTCACCGGGGATCAACGAGGCGTTCGCCATGCTGCAGCAGGAAAGGATCAACAAACTGTATGCTACTAGACATCTAAAAACGAGATGTGTGCCCTACAGAGATCACAGAGTGATTTTAGGCTCTTACCCCATCTGTGCGGGAGTGAGTCGAGTGTGATGCTGTGGCGTCGTGGCGCTGGCACTGATGGTTAGCGTGCCATCTGTACTGGCTCGCTCCCAGTCGTATGGGTCATTTTCCACAACATTGTAGGTTTTCATGCTGTTGTCGAACACGGACATCAGCAGCTGCAAGGACATACAAAGACATGATCTACCTTTTTGTCTGAGTTTCTGATTTAGTAAGAAATCAATTGAGAAGATGTTAACCTGGTAGTCAGGCTTGGTGTAGTAGTCAAGGCTGGAAATGTGTTCCAAGAACACGCCAAACTCTGCCGGCAGATGTTTGAGCATCAGACGATGGTCATATGTCTCCTTCAGCTTCCCCACATGTTCCTGAGAATCATTTTTAAAATGATTATTCCTAATTCAAGCTAGAGGAGCTTTAGATTTGATAATAGCCTCACTTTGTCCTTTATTTTCCTCCATGGCAGCTGTCCAACCAGGAACTCCACTAACATGTAGAATAGAGACCACAGGTCATCGTGGCGACCCATCTCCTGCAGAATGAAATAAAAATGTTTGTTCTTATTATGTTAAAATAAAAACAAAGGAGAAGAGGGAAAATATACTCTCACATATAGTTTCTAGTGCATTAATCAACTGCATATATATATATATATCCCAGATTCATAAGGTGAAACATGGTAGTGGCAGCATCATAAAATGGGATAGTTTTATTAGCAGGCACAGGTTGAAAAGAATCTAATGAAAGAAAGTTCTGAAAGAAAACTCTTTAAGATGAGTCTCGTAATTTTGGATCTTTCCTATTTGGCTGTAAAAATACCAACATAGGATTAAGGTCACTTGGCAGAATAAAATAAAAAGAAGACATATTTTTATTGTTGTTTTAATACTAAGTTGAACTTACAAGAACATATGCAGTTAGATAATAACAGAGGAAAATGAATAACAGAGCGGAAAAAAAACTGACAACATTTTATGATCAATAAAGAAGAAAGGACACTGAGGTTGAAATGTTGTATACATGATGTACTCTAGATAAGATTTATTTACAAATCATTATTCCTCTTTTAGCATATAAATATAAATATGTACACTGGATTGAATATGCATGTTAAATCTGTTTGGTATGAATGTGGCAGTTTAAGTGTTTCTTCAAATATCTTTTTTCCAATTTATTTAAAATTTTTAAACTTAACTTTTGTGTCAAACCTTTGATCTTTTTCATTGAATTCCATTTAGACTTTATTCTATAATAACACCGAAAAAACAATCACGTTTTTTTTTTTTCTTGGTACTTTTTAGTCAAATAAATCCAGAGAGACTTTAATATACCAGGAATGCCTTCCTAAATACCAAGGAGTGTTTTGCCACCACCTAGTGGTAAAAGTAAAAACTACATCCGTTTGATGACAGCAGTTCAAACCCCTGGATTCTGGCTACTAAATGCTCTAATCTGATCAATTCATAAATAAAACCTCCATACCAGCTTTCTTATTTCATATATGACAAAAAAATTATGTGAAAAATATTCTGAAAGCATGTCAGAAACTAAATGCAAATCAGTAATAACACAATTAATGAACAGTGTATATGACTTTGGTATAGCTAAAAAAATTAAACCCCATTATTTATATTTCAAACATGTAACAATGAACTAAATAATTATGTTAAATGATTGTTAATGTTTCATCATATAATTATTTTAAGTAATACGCTAGTTTTCTTTTTTATTATTATTACATGGGGATAACAGTCCCTGGAACCAGACTGCAGAGATTCACTGTACGTGGAACACTGTCATTTTATAAGTAATAAAACAAGAAGACTGATTGTTTAAAACCATACATTACATTTCAATTTCCAAACTTAATTTCTAATTTGAAGGATAGGGATAGCTGTATCAAACTCCACTGTTTTTGAAAAAACAACAAAGTTTTAAAGACATGTTTGAGTAAAAGAAGCATCAATAAAATAATCTAAGCTTAGATTTAGATCTAAGCCTTATGTTGCGAATTAGCCTAAATTTAGTGTAGGTGGAATATTTAAATCAGAAATCTCCAATTAATTTAGCAAAACTATAACATGCTTTTAATAAGGGAGATTTTGTAACAGTTGGTGAATACAAGAACTGAACAACATAATTTATGTGTACCGCTTTGTGTTGGTCAATTTTGATTTAATACAAGGAGGTTTCTGGTTGAAGATGTGAAGTTAATGCAGTATGAACAGTTCTGAAATGCACATCACTGGGTAGCATTCAGAAATTATACTGACCTTATTCTTGTGTGCGTTAACAGAGGCATAACGAACTGTTCCCCTGAACCCTGCGACTGGACGAGGCTAAAAAGAACAAAACAATGTGATTTGGCTTATTTATCATGTGATTAAAGACATGTAGAAAATTAGCAGTGAGTAATGAAAAAATTAAAAAAAAAGAAAAACATCCAAGAAAAATATTCCTTTGAGCACACTGCATGTCACACAGTTTACATACCAAGATTATAAGGAAAGAAAACTAGATTTAAGTAACATCAAACACCTTGCTTGAGCTATTTTTAGGTTAAAAAAAAGCACAATTTTAATTTTCAACACAGATTTTGATACATCGACTGCGGAAAATAAAGACAGATTTTAATATTTTCCATACACGTTATTTGGTCAAATCTAGGGAATAATCTATGGTCAACATGAAGCCAAAAACCTTCCAGTGAAAAAAACATTTAGGATGAATGTTTGAGGGGAGGGTTGGGTGGTCACCATTGAAACTGATACAGAAATTTGATCTACATCTGTATGATCAATAAGATGTGAAAGAGACGATGCTACTTACGGGGCGGACCTCCTGACAGGAATTGGTGAACTGACGCGCCAGACCAAAGTCTAGCATGTAGCAGGTCCGACAAGTACTGGGAAAGCGACCCATGGCGAAATTGGACTGAAGTGGAAAGAAGGATGGACATGAGGAGATAAAAAATAAAGAATAGATTTGGTGATTATCATGATCTGCTGCTTTGGGTTTTTGGTTCTATTCAAGTTTTCATTTAAGGTTTCCAGTTATGCTTCGATCTCTGTTTGCTGTTAAGATTTATATCACTTTTGGAATTGCTCCTTAATTTTACTATTCCCTTTTTATGGTTTTCAGTTAACTCCTATTCAGCTTTCTATAATATTTGCTTTATTTATTAGACATTTATCATTTACAATTATCCTTTTGTTATGTTTTCCATGGCATCATAGTTAGCTGAAGTTATCTCCAGTTCCTTCAGCTATCCTTCACTTTCCTCTTAGTCATTCTTTATTTTCTATTAATTAGTTTAATTCCCCCATTAGCTTTATTTAAGTTCTTTCCTCGTTATATTAAAGCACTGTTTTATTCCCTAGTTACTCTCTGTTGCCCCTCTCCTTCCCCCCTACACTGCAGAAACAATCTAGAAACTAGAAATAAGTTAAATTTTGTGTATTAACCTTTAATATAAGTAGGAAAATTTATTGATTTGCCAATGGAATGAGTATTTCTATTCTTAAAATAAGGTAATTAGATAATATGCACTTGAAATAAGACAATGTAACTATTTTTTCTTATTTTAAATGTATATTGTCTTGTTCCATTGGCAAAGTCTCTCACTTACCTCCTCAATTCAAGAAAAAATGCACATATTTTAATAAAAATATTACTTATTAAGATTTCATTTTTTTCCAGTATAACTCCCTTCTAGCTACTTCTGTCCACTCCTGCTCCCAAGTAGTTGATTACACCATTCATTGTTCTGTCAGCCATATATACTCCTCTGCAGTTAAGGGCTTATTTTGCTTGATGCACTGATACTCCATGCTAGAAATAAGATGCCCGTTAAAGCGTCTTCAGCATCTATACTCTGTGTGTCTTTCCCCCTGTTCTGGCCAGCATCAGGAAGGGCGGGTTCAGCACAAACAGCTGACACCACACTACACGAGGAATTAGAAAACACATCCGTTTGCTACTTTATCAAAGCCTTTCCATGCCATTCGAGAGCCACAGTCATTTCTTTCCTGGAGTTTTTCCACAATTTGTTGATAGTGGTAATATTTATGGGTCAGGAAGTCTCTAAGTGTTTATATTTGCAAACCTTTGCCAGCAGGAGCTGCTGCTCGCTCGTCGTGTTTTCAGCCTGGATCCATCCGAATAGTTACAAATTTTACTAGGTGTTCCGTCTGAAAACTATTTCCTTAAGGAGTCCACACAGAGGGGCGTAGATGCCCAAAAAGACATAATTTAGATGCATGGACCGGTAGGACACATTAAGCATAAACCAAGCTTAACTCATTGCTGGATTCTCATTATTCCCCTCTGAAGATTTTTGTTAGCTTCTGTTCTGGTTCCTGTGTTCCCTGGTTTGTTATTTCTGGATTTATGCTTCATCATTAAATCTGCAAGGAAACATCTCTGCCTCCGTCTCTGCATTTGGGTCCTCTACAAACCCCCACTCTACTTGATAGTGACACGGTTCTGTAATTCTTATCCTTATCCATACAAATCTATGACAGCAGTTCACAGGGTAAACAACCTATACATTCTGTAGAAAATTAGCAGTGAGTAATGAAAAAAAAAAAAAAAACATCCAGGAAAAATATTCCTTTGAGCACACTGCATATCACACAGTTTACATACCAAGATTATAAGGAAAGAAAACTAAATTTAAGTAAAAACTGTGCCACATGGTCTTTGCAACATACTGGTTTGATGTCCCGATGCAAGAATCCAACAGAGTGGATGCTCTCTATGGCCTCCAGGATCTGGCGCCCAAGGCGCAGGGTCGTACTGATGCTGAACGTCCCCCGAGGCATGCTTCTCCTCAAGTCTGCCAGGTTTCGACCCTAAGAAAAAGAAAAAAAAACGGCACCCCGTATCTGTTATCCAAAACATCAGATTAAGCTACTGGCTGTTATAGATGAGTTGACAGAAGGAAAACTTCATGGTATTTAGTGCAGTAATGGCATGGGTCCATTGGACATTTAAATTAAAACCACGACTCAAAATCAGAATACTCAAAGGCTCAAAGAGAAAACGTTTAGGACTGCGAGAAATCCTTACGTCTGCAGTTTGTGGGTTAGTGAATAAATTATTCAAAACAAGCTGCATTTTAAGACTTTTCTGAAATATTTATCTGGTTTAACGTCTGTAAACAACTCCCAGAGGTGAGTAACACGCTGCAGGGGGGTATGCATGACCCGTCTCAGGTGTCAGAACAAAGTCAAACCAAGATCATCACAAAGAGACGCATTAAAACAGATTAAAATGAGGAGAAATTGCAATTGTTTTTAATTTGTTTTTGTTTTTTTTACATAAAACTAAAATTAGTGATGAGCAAATATATATCTATATATCTATATATATAGATATGTATATAGATGGTGTGTGGAATAGCTGACTGTGTGCTAATTCCTCCAGAAGACTGACCTGAAGCTCCATCACCACGTAGTTGAATCGGTCGTTGCGGCCACATCCAACGAAGCGACAGACGTGATCTTTACCTGAGAAAACCAAACTGTTTCAGAAAAGGTTTGCAAGTGAGACAATCACTAGTCTGTCTGTTCTCAATGGATTTTTTTCTTTATTTGGGCATTATGGCTCACCACCCCGGGCGAGATTGTTTCAGGAAGATACATGAGATTTAAAAGAGGAAAAGCTGTAACCCTTGCTAATGTCTGTTCCAATAAGAAGGTGATAAGTCAGCTTATTGTTAAAAAAAAAATCTACCATCACTATATAGAGATTATTGACAACTTAGTCTCAGATTTATGACGATTTAATTCATTTTTTTTTTCAAAAACAAGCATTTTTTCTTGCTTATTGGCATTAGGATTCCCTTAAATTGAGAAAACAAAATCCACATATAGTTTGGTCAAACCCAAACTAATTGTTTCCACTGCCATACCAGACAGTTTTTAAATACATGTGCTTACTTTTGACCTGCAGTTTCTTAAAAAAAACTAGTTAATTCAATAGACTCGGATTGCAGGGAAAAAAGGGGGCCTGGCCAGGGAGGCATCCATGCAAGAACCAGCCTTGCCCAAGAGTTTGTTTCTCCCCCTCCTGCATTACTGAGGATCCCTGCTTTCCGTCACCAGCATGCCTTTAAATGTACAGAATAAAACCCGCACCAGCAGCTCAACATGATCAAAAGCAAAAATGCTTTATGTCGGTTAAAAGTATGTGTCCTCTAATGTCAGGGGACACCGCTGCACTGACAGAACCACAGAGCCGTCCAAACAAAAATAGCTACAGGACCTTCTGAATAAAGAAAAGGACAATTTTGTTATCAAATTTTCAAATAAGGCTCTTTAGCTGAGTGTAGAACGACCAAAAGCCTTCTGATGAGGACTCTAGGTCAATGTTTACTCTTGACAGCTGTGTGGATCAGCAATGTTGGGGGGATTAGAGTTCAGCTCCTCTCAAGTTACATGTAAGCTCCCTTAGGAGGCAAGTGAATCACAGAGCTGCAGGTCAAGGCCATTAGACAGAAAACATGATCCCAGCTCATTGATTTTCCTCTCAGATGGGTAAAAGAAAGACAACATGGTGGTTAAAAAGCAAGAAAAGAACGTTTTGGATACAGAAACACACGTCTGATAGATTTTAAAGGTAGGCTAACTGTCAGGAACAGAGCCGTACGAGTCATCCCAGGGTTCTCTACTGCAAATGTTTTTTCCTGCGCTTTTAGACTTGAGTTTTTCAGATATGATTCCCTTCTTCAGAACATTTTCTGAATTAGTAATGACACAAAAGGTCACTGTGTCGCTGCAGGTCAATCAGTTCCTGTAACTGAACCCACTGAGCCCATTTAGACTCACCCTGGAGCTTCTTGAGGACGGCGACCTCCATTTTTAACACTTGTTTTGGCTGCTGGGCTGACTCCACTTTCAGCGCCACGCTGCCCCGTGTCAGCAGGTCCTGCGCCTCGTAGATCTCCCCAAAACCACCGCCACCGATCTTCTTTACCTGGGTGGGGTGGAGCAGACGATGGATAACATTTTAGAAAAGTATGGCAATAACTTTATTTATGAGGAAAGACTGAGGATGATAGGGCAGTGAGTTCATAACATTCAGGGACATTCTTTTGATTTTCTGAGGATTTTAGGTCAGGAAAGTAATTATCTGAATAATACAAATGATATGTGGAAAAACATCCAACCAGCCATACATTTTCTGTCCCAGCTGGGGTCGCAGCTATCTCCAGCTGTCTACAGGCGAGGGACGGGGTACCCCCAGAAAAGGTTGCCAGTCTATCACAGCGTAACACTTAGACAAACAGGACAAGCAACCATTCACACACATACTCACACCTTAGGAGAATTTAGAGAAGCTAATTAAAGGGGAACGCTGTTTTTTTTTTTTACATTGGGCCCTTGATTTTACATTATTCCATCATGTTCTACTCACCCATATGAGTTTTGTGTCATTTGGAGCCGTTCTGAAGATATTCCGTTAGGTTATATCCAAGTAACGTCTTCCTTTGGGCAACGACTTGAAGGCACAAACTAAACTGTTCATAATTTATTCTTTATGGTACGCCAGCATTCAGAACATGTAGGTGAATCACTGTCCCCCAGACATTCGTGGTTATATTTTTTATATTTATATTTTTTTTAAACAAAGCGGCACGTGTATGACGTCATCCGAGTGCGCCGGCTACCATTCATTCATCCTGTCCTCTGAACTGCTGCTAGTTTTCCTCACATGCCAGGAAGATGTAGTGCTGCTACCACAGATGATCTCGCTCTCCAAATGGAATTGAATGATTCAGATTAGCTAGAATGAATCGAAGGGGTAGAGTTAGGGATGGGAATCGAAAACCGGTTCCTGTTCAGAACCGGTTCCGTATTTTCCGATTCCATGGCATCGTTTGGCAGCTCGCTGAATGATTCTTTTTTCGATTCCCGCAGCACCAGAGCCTAAAGCGCCGGCTCTGGGGAGCACGACTTACGTCACGTTTTTTACGCAAGTTACGCACACGGCGTTCAGTAAGCAAGTACGAGGTGACTAGACAAAAAAGGAAAGCAAAAAAAGACAGCCTTGGAAGAACTATTCGAGAAGGATAAAGACAACGAGCTGCGGTCACTTTGTGAATCAAAGCCCCGTCTTTTCTTAGCCCAGAGGGTGGATCAGGAAATCCAGCTCTATAAAAGCTTGCCCTCCATCCCCTGCAGGGATAGCGCCACACTGTGGTGGTGGAACAAGCAAGATACGCTGCCCTTGCTATCTGGACTGGCTGAAAACTACCTCTGTGTGCAGGCTTCCTCCACCCCATCTGAGAGGGTGTTCTCCACGGCTGGAAACACCTTAAGCGCTGAAAGATCCCGTATCCTTCCAGAAAAAGCAGATATGCTCATCTTTCTGCAAAATAACTGTTAATTTTCCCTACTACTGTTTTATAATTAGTATTTTTTGTTATTTAAAATTGGTTATTATCCCATCGTTTGTTATTAGACATTGTTGGTTATTAAGTTTGTTCTTGTATTCATTTTTCATTTAAACACAGATGTTACTCCAGTTACTCCGGCTTCCTCCCACGGTCCAAGAACATGACTGTTAGGTTAATTGGCTTCTCTGAATTGTCCTTAGGTGTGAGTGTGTGTGTGAATGGTTGTTTGTCCTGTGTGTCTCTGTGTTGCCCTGCGATGGACTGGCAACCTGTCCAGGGTGTACCCCGCTTCTCGCCCATTGACTGCTGGAGATAGGCACCAGCACCACTCGCGACCCCAATTGGGACAAGCGTGTAAGATAATGGATGGATGGATGTTACTCCAGTTTCACATTTCCTGTGGACATCTTGATCTTGTTCAGTTTGTAAGATTGTGCAATAGTTAAGTAAAGAAAGTTGATGCTGATAATCAAACTGTTTGTTCTTCTTTTTCCCCCAAATTGGAATCGAAAAAAGAATCGATAAAGAATCGAATCGTTTCATAGACTTGAAAAGGGAATCGGAATCGTGAAAATCTTTTCAATTCCCAACCCTAGGTAGAGTGTAGCTGCCTGGTGTAATGCACATTGGTTAAATAAAGTTTTTTTATAAAAAAAAAAAAAAAAAAACTCCTGTCAGACGCGCGGATGACATCATACACGCGCCGTTTTGTTTTTAAAAGATAAAAATATAAAAAATCTAACCGCAGATGTCTGGGGGACAGTGTTTCACCTACATGTTCTGAATGCTGGCGTACCATAAAGAATAAATGATGAACAGTTTAGTTTGTGCCTTCAAGTCGTTGCCCATAGGAAGACGTTACTTGGATATAACCTAACGGAATATCTTCAGAACGGCTCCAAATGACACAAAAATCATATGGGTGAGTAGAACATGATGGAATAACGTAAAATCAAGGGCCCAATGTAAACAAAAACGGAATTCCCCTTTAACCTAAGAGTCATGTTTTTGGACAGTGGGAGGAAGTCGGAGTACCTGGAGAGAACCACAGTATGCAGGGGGAGAACATGCTAACTCTATGCAGAAAGACCCCAGCCCAGGAATTGAACCCAGAACCTTCTTGCTGCAAGCCAGCAGTGCTGGGCATAATGACTTTTAGTGCCTTTTTTATTCATTTATCAAATTTTGCCTACAAAACAGATTTTAGTCTCACAATTTGACACATTACAGACAACTGTCAGATAATTCCAATGTTATAATGGAAGTTCTACAAAATATTAACCTTCTTATTACCCTCTTGTTAGCAGGAGTTCCCTAGTAAATACCCTGAAGTTTATAGTCTAAACATGACCGAAGGTTAAAGAAAGGTCAAAACATTTGGAAACACTTATTTAAAAAAATAGGGATCACAAAAAATATTCTCCCAGTATTGAAAAGTGAACAGACTTTATGGGATCATAACAGTAAATGCTTTGTGTCGTTCATTAACTCCTCTATCTTTCAGCACTCAGACCTCATTCCCCCCTAAGCTCTTCTTGTCCTTTACTGTCCTCCAACCTCAGTTCTGGTGTCACTGAATTAGCTGCAGAATCCTTACATAACTCAGCTGCTGAGAAGACATTAAGTGATGCCAGGCTGCCAGTTTGCAATAACTGCATCACATGGCACAGAATGGGGCCCCTGGTAGCAGGAGACATGGGCCTATTGGGGACTTCTCTCTATAGCACATAGCACAGCCTCAAATAGTATCACAGGCTATTTAAAGAGTCCTCAAACTGCAGCAGCATAACCTGGAGAAAAAGGTAAAACCTGGAACTGTAGAAGTTTTTGGTAAGAAGAAAGAAAACCTTTTTTGTTTTTAGACAAAGATCCATTGTTGTAGGATAAGGGTTGACTTGAGGCAAGCGGGGATGGGGCTGGACAAACACGCTGCCTATTGTAGCAGGAAAACAAGCCACTTACCACTTTCCATCGTTCCTTGACCAGGGAGAGGCCGCTCAGGATGTCAGCTTGCTCTGCTCCCCCGCTCATCCCGTCTGTGGAACGGGGACGCTGCCCCCACTGCTTCCCTTTGACCAGGAGCCTCACACTAAGCCGGGCATTTGGAACCTGATGGACAGTCCTAGAAGGATTGAGGAGAAGCAGACACACATCAGGGACAGATTAAACAAAAAAGGATACTGGCCAAAATGTGCTTAAGCTGATAACACACCCGCAAAAATCATGAAAGACAAAACAGAACTAAAGTCTCCCTGAGTTTTCTTATCCTCAACCATCGCAGCAGCAGCTGCAACAACTGTTCTGCCAGCAGCTGTCTTTCTGGACAAACTCCACAGCAAAAGCCTTACATCTTAAATTACAAATAACATTTCATACCAGCATACGTTTTCTGCAGTGGTCTTTATGGTGGAACAGCAGCAACTAGCTTAAAATGTAATTAAGATGTTTGTTTCTGCAACACTTTATATCAATGTGTCATTTTTTAGCAGTAGCTTGGTTCCAGGGACCAAAACAGCAAGTTACATTAGAAAAATCAATATTAGTCATTGAGGTAATATTAGGAACAGATTAAAGTTGACTTTGCTTTATTATGATGAAAATCATAATTGGTATTGAAATGCATTTAAAACATGGTTTAGTATATTGTCATTACTCTGTGTTATTTGTACTTTATCACATGTTTACTAAAAACTTTGAGGCCCTTTTGAGGCCTCATTAAGCACTTAGTAAAACAGTTTCTTAGCTGTCGTTAAATCTTTGAGGCTTTGGAGCAGGTCAAGTTCATTCTCAGTTTATTTTATTTTATTTTATTTTTTCCAGTCTTATGAGATTCTTTATAGATTTTCATATAATGAATGTATAATTATAATAATATAATTGAACTTTATTGATCTCATATTGGAGAAATGTATCTCTGTATTTAATCCATCCGCTTGGAGAGCAGTGGGCTGCCCTTTTGGGGCGCCCGGGGAGCAGTGTGGGGTTAAGGGTCTTGCTCAGGGACCCAGAGTAGCAGTCTGTGGGACTGGGGCTCGAACCCAGAACCTCAGGATTCCGAGCTCTATGCCCTAACCACTAAGCCGCCACAAAATCCAGTCGAATTTTGGTTCAGAAAATGTAAGACCTGCGTATGCCTTAGTAAAAACCAGTCCAGGTTAGGTTGTCTCCATCCATCCTCCCATCAACATTGACCAGCTTCCCTGTGCCTACACAAGCACAGGGTTCCAAGAGCATGATGCTGCCTCCACCATACTTCACCAAGGATAAGAACTGTGTGATCAGGGTGATTTGCAAGGCCAAATTTATCCTAACTTTAGGGTATCTAAATTTGCTGTAAACCTTTAACTATTTGTCTCTACATTGTGTTGGTGTTCTGTCAGATGGGCATACCCCATCAGACTAGTATACGCATAGTCAATACAGATGCACGTCAGATTTGCATTTATCCCTTTAGTTTTCTATGAAAAATATTTTATTTCAACAGGCGTGTATCCCTTTAGTCATGTACAAAAAAAATGTTTAAGGTGAGATCGCTATATGCTTAAAAAAACACCAAAAAGTAAGTAATTAAATTGTTGTTTTGAACATGACTAAAGGGGTACACGCCCGGTGAGGTAGTTTAAAGTTTAAAGTATATTTTTCGTACAAAACTAAAAGGGATAAACGAGTATTGACTATGGGTATGCTGGTCTGACAGAATACCAGCTATTCAAATAAAGCTAGTGTTGCGCTGATGTCCTTTTTTGGCCCCGATACCTGACACCTGGCTGTGCAGTATCGGCCGATACCGATACCATCAGTTTGAAATTAATGTGTGTGTGTATATATTGAGAACTGCATACTACTTGGATGTAAAATAATTGCCATCATGGCTTTGTCAAGCTGCTGCCTACCTTTGAGAAGCAGGAAAAAAGACTAATAGAAAGTGAATCCAGTAGAACTTTTTATTGCCTACCTGGAATGGGTGAAAATAGTTGCGTAAACTTTTGGCTCTATGGTATCAGTGCTCTATTTGGCGGTACTCGTCGATACCGATACCACCATTTTAGTCCTGTATCGGGTTCCCGCCTGATACTGGTATCGGTATCAGTGAAACACTACATAAAACCCCAGCAAAATTCGCAAATCGATGGATGCGACATGAAAATTGTAGTTTTACAATTTCTCTCATATTGAAATAGCCAACAACTTTCCAACCTTGCACGGCTACATCAGTACATTTCCGTCATTTTTTCTTTTAAACATTTTGGGGCCATTTGTGACAATTTTACAAAATGTGATAAAAACGAGATATCATTATTTCAAACCAGCCTGATATGGTGCTTCCTTAGGAGAAAAAAAAAAGCATCTTTATTCCCACATTATACAACATCTATGTCACAGATAAGCCTCCCTCTGCAGAGCACACGCTGGTGACTTCCTCCGCTATGCCTTCAAACACTCGGAGCAAGACTGACTTCGATTCATCATTCTGCACACATGGCGAGCGCAGGAGTCAGCGGTTATGCAACGAACTTCAAAACAGCACTTGGTTACAGGGCATGAGCCGAGTATTGAGGACGTAACATGCGAAGGCTGTTAGATGGAAGTAGGATGGGAAAACGGGAGATGATGGGCAGAGTACATAATTGGTTGATCTATGCTTTTGAAAATAATCTTAAGGAGATAAACACATTCAGGAAGAGAAGAGCACAATTAAACCTTTAATACTGGATGCCAGTGTATGAATTAAATGGATATTTTGTTTTTTTAAGGTAAAAAAATAATTGTTCAACTCTTTTTTTTTTTATATTTCCTGCATATATGGCCAATGTTAGGTAGCTAAGCATGTACACAATTATTAGGATAATATGGAAATTAGGATAAAATGATGATGGAAAAATGGTAATAAACTAAACACATGATCATATTAATTTAAATTTAAATCAACTATGCCACCTAAATCAAATTAATATTCATCAAAATGTTTCTAATGAATACTGAAAAACAATCAATGAAACTTTATTAGCACTAAAGTGAGTTAACACAGATCGGCTGAGAATTCATTTTTTTACTGTAAGTTTTCTTTAAACTGTACTTCAAAATGATTTATTTCAGTTTTATAAACTTAGGCTGCCCAGTGGTTCTGTAGCTAAGTCTTTTACTTTGATGAAAATATCAAAGCCTGGCCTGGAATACTTTTGCATTTAGTTTGCAAACAGACTGCTAATACAATAATCACTGTAACTAAGGCTGTGTCCAAATGTCCGCCCTAAACCCTAGATCCCTCAATCACTATATAGAGCTGGGACTATATAGTGGTAGCCTGACATAGTCCTACTCAATTCTAGTCAGAATATGAGTCTGATTGTGCTATGAGTCTGAAACAGCTGTGATTATGGGGCGTGTTTTGAACAAACCAGGAAAAAAAAATGCCTCTGCACTCAATTGGATAGACCTACAACCAATAAGAGCAAAGGAGTGCGTGACGTATGTTAAGCGAGGCATAGTTGTTGTCAACATGAAAAAATCAAAGCGTGCAGTTGCACGCCTAGAATAAGAAGATGAGCCTTGATCGCGTTTCTCTGTTCCTCTTTTAAAATTAATTTGCTGTCGATATCTTCTAGAACAGACCTAATAGCAGAATCTACTCACCCAAACTCTCCAGCGGCAGCCATTGTTGTTGTCACCCAAGCGCGCTTTGGTGACGTGGTTGATTACGTTACTGTTGCTCATCTGTCTATCATCGTATAAAGCCCGCCCTGACAATTTGATTGGCCCACCAGATATCGTGCGAGCATACTCACGCTACTGTTGAGCAATGCCAGACCCAACTTCCCGACCTCAAACCTTGTGGGCGGGACTAAGTTCGGAATGTCACCCAGGCTAATATAGTGGGGGGATCAATAGTGAACTCAGTTAACTGACCATTCGGAAAGATGATCACTACTTTTTGCTCCCTGTTGGTCATGTAACTCCGCCTCCACCTGAGCCATCTTTGTAATTTGTCACCTACAGCATTGGTGTTGCCGCTGTGACAACAAATCCCACGATGCTTTGCGAGGACAGATGTCCTTGCAAAGCTTTCTGGCATATCTGCTCGTCTAGTGACCATGGATGATCACTACCTTTCAAGGTGCATTGTGGGAAAATTTCGAGCCCACTATTTTTTCATCCACTGGACATTCGGACACTTATCTAAGATGGCGCAACCACTATATAGTTCCCTAGATAGTGTTTAGGGCGGACATTCGGTCAAAGTCTATGAGATTACCTAACCTCCCCGAGGTTTAAAGGAACAGTACACCCAAAACATGATTAGCCTTCATTCAACGCGGCAGACCAAACCAGATGAAAGTGTGCATTCAGCTCGGAAAAGAACTCATGCTCTTCCTCAACACTCAAGTCCTCAGACATTTTTCTTTCGTTGTTTCTTTTTTTGCACAAGTAAACTGCACATTTCTTCTTCTACGCTTGCATTATCGGCAGAGCAGACGCTGAATGCGCACTTTCATCTGGTTTGGTCTGCCGCGGTTTCCGTAGACTCGTGAACGCGCTTTTAGGAAATCCTATACACTACTGTTTATGCTCTAAAAACATTCTAAATGACTTCGTTTCGAGTAAATTCTGGACGCTACCCACTCAGGACACTTGGAATACATTGGACGAGCAGTATGGAGGAATATTGACACGTTTTTTGTGGACTTTTATGGACCTTTCTGTCTCGAGTGCCATAGACCTCCATTATTTGAATGTCAGCAGACAGCAAGAAGCCTCCCAGATCTCCAGATGCATTTGAGATATCAAAAAAGTACTCCAGAGTGTTGTTCAGCATGGGGGTGAGTAGAAAATGAAGGCTAATCATGTTTTGGGTGTACTATTCCTTTATGGCTGTTTGTCCTTCTGTGATGGTCTGACATGTTCAAATTTTATCCAATGAAAACTGGAACCAGTCCACTTTAAAACCTTTAGAGGGGAACAAATATTGATCCACAGATGGATTTTATAGTAATCTATTTAAAAATGCAGCTCTTCATTTTCTAATCTATGGATTAATGTCAATATTATTAACTTTGCTTTCATCTTGTTCTTTGCTCTTTGTTTTATTGCAGTTTATAGTTTTTAAGAATTCTCACTGAGAAC